GTCAAGGTGTGTCTACGCAGGCGTATATCTCGAAATTCAGTAATAACTACTCAGAAAACGATAAACGTATGAGAGCTGTGTTTAAGAATTTTTCAGTTGCAAAACAGTTTTAGAGTTGTGCGGTTCATTATGGCTTTGGATGAACAAATTTGTGCTGTATTTGACGTCCAAGGATTTTGCGTAGAAGGTACGTTTTATGCGCGTGAATTTGCTATAGCTAATAGTGATGTGCGAATTTGCTACGAAATTGATGCGTGTATTGAGTCCGACGTAAAATTACGAAGTTTTAGACATTTTGTTAACCAAACGAAGAAAATTCACGGAATTCCGATCGGAAAAATATTTGACGATAAAGTTCAGAAGACAATAAGAGGTAAATATTTTTCAGGCTTTGTAAAGAACTGTTACGAAAAAGTTGTAACTGATGATAAAACTTTTGTTGCCGTTAAAAACCAACAATTGGCTCAGATACTAGATGGTTTGGATTTGCCATATATTAATCTAGAGAAGCAACCGATTTTCAACGAAATTTGTCCAACTCTTCAATATTTTGATAAGTATTGCGGATCAACAAATCATTATTGTCTACTTCATAATGTACTCAACAACGGTCAAGGCACTGATCGAGCTCGTTGTTCGCTACGCAAAGCTGTGAATATCTGGAATTGGATTGATAACAAAGTCAAAACACATGAATTTCTTGATTCTGTACATCCAGATGAGCAACAAGAGTTGCCGAACGTTTTCAAAAAGACCATAATTTTTAACACAGACGACAAAAGCTCAACAATTAAATCCATCAATGATATTCGACGATTTTTAATTAAGCTCAAAAAATGTAAAGGTGGTCAAGAACCCTATCTGTTTAGAGAGTTCGATGATTGGTTTTTGGAAAATATGTCGTTACGTCCCCAACCTGTACCGGACTATAGCAAGGAAGACACTTGCCAGCAAATCACTATTGGCGATCTCAAATTCATGCCATAAGGGCATGCGCAAGAATTTTGCTTTCTACACACTTTCCTACTATTTTTCATCAGTTTTCTACTTGTTCTTGTTGTGATCAGTCGCAAAATTTTTAACTCCTTCAACACAATGTCTAATGTTATGTCAAAATCTTCACTTTTTGTTGATGTGTTCAGTGACACTTTGTCAGAATCCACCAAATTTGGTGCTAAGAAAATGCTTACTGTTAAACATCACGTCGATAAACCTGACTTTTTACTTGTTGACATTCGTGGAACCTACAATGGTAAGCCTCAAAAGTCTGGAATTTGTTTAACCCCTTACGAGTATGATTGGTTGGCTAAGCATATTCTCTACATGAAGGCAAGAACCAGCTCAAACCAGGACAACGAACTAAAGTCTCAGAGAAGTGCAAGAATATTGCAAGTCCATCCTGTAAGTAGTGGTCGTACTGGTGGCTTAGTTATCACCCAGATTGTTAACGATGAGGTTCGTAAAATTACTCTTTACAAAAAGGAGCTTGTTGCCCTTCGTAATAATTATGGCACGTTTTATTCATTGGTGGAAAAAATGGCCGAAATCGAAGCCGAGGAAGATTGCGAAGAATCGGACGATGAGTACACAGTTGTAGTTGAATCGACTAAGCCTTTGGAGGATCTCAAGCCAGCAGACATTGGTTTGGAAATTGCATCATCCATTGCAATTTCAAGCACTGCTAATTAAATTATTATTTTTTAAAATTACATTTTTCAATTATTTTACTTTTTAATTATATTTAATCATTTTTAATTATTTAACCATTTATTAACTGTATTCTTTTTATTACTATATTTAATAAACATTTTTTTTTGAAATCTAAATATCTAGTCATTTATTACAACGGTTACTATACGTTTAAACAAATTTATAAAAAGTCTTAGCACATATTTTGGTTAGCCTTGAATTCGCTCTGCGTTCTTTGCAAACCGTATCTGCCAAAGGCTCTATACAACCGTTCCGTCATTGGCTCTTGGCTAGAGATATCTACTGCGCAGATGCAAGCTTATATTCGAGTACCTCTACTAATATGATATTTTCTTTTTACCGTTTTAAAATAAAATATTTCAAAATATTTTGAATCAATAAATAAAGTAACATTTTAATTGTTGAAATGCAACTTTAAACACACTATTAATAAAAGTATAAAATTATATTTACTATTATGCAATCTTGTTATTTAGCAAATTTATTTCTATTAATTTTTAAAATATATTCAATTAATAGTTTATTAAATTATTAAAATTTTTAAAAACATAAGATCAATGTAATTAATACACTGCTTAATTAACTAAAATAATATTAAATTTAAATGATAATTATATAAACTATATAAATAAAGTTACATTGAACTACTGTGAAGGGATAACTCCCGACAACACATCGGAAATCCACTTCATATTCGATGAAACTCTAATGTTATAATTGAAGCCATTGTCCGAACAGTGGCCGGCCATTGACTTGAATACGCCAATCAGTACAGCCCGACCACCCGTATACTGGAGTAGAGGTGCGCCAGAATCACCCTAGTTATTTATTAAAAAATATCACATAAATCATACTTAAAATTAATAATTAATGTTTATATTAAATACAGGATAAAGTACAGTATCGCCAGAGATAAAAGAGTGTTTTTAAAGTATAATAATTATATTAAAACTGCATTTTAAAATTGCAATAAATACTGTAGGCAGAAATGTACTGTATGTTATATACAGCTCAGTATATCGATGTAAAACATACCCCACACCCAATTGCATTGGTAGTTGAAGTAATATAAGAACCGTTACGATCATTTACATCATACGTGGGATCTTGAATGACGGTCCAACCAAATTTTAGCCGATTACCAAGGTGATTATCGCTAGTCATACCAAAACCGGCTATAATTGCATATTCAAGCCAAACATGATAGACATCGCTGTGCGGTAGGCATATGCTGTTGATCTGCCTGTGCGTTGACCCTATGGTGGGTCTTAGGTCTAGAGGGGTTTTTAATTTGACCATGGCTATATCGTAAGCATTAGGGTCGATCAAGTATTGCGGTGGGTATAAGTATCTAGCAGCCTGTACACCTTTGCCCTTATTGGATATGCTGAAAACAGCAGGGTAAACCATTATTTTGACCGATACGCACGTGGGACAGCTAAGTAGTTGTTTTGTTAAAAGTTTGTCATTATGTATTAATTTTATTGCGAACATGTTAAAGTAAAATTATTTAAAATAATTATTGTAAACAAACCAAGCGTCACTTACTGGAAACAGTGTACGGACGATATAACAAACCACTCATTTAATATTGTACCCGTACAGCTATAACTACATTTAATAACATAATAATTAATGTAACATGTCATATTAAGGCAAAAATTAATTAACAATAAATTGTAACAATTACGTGTCTGTTGGCAATAATAGACCATAGTCTTTCTTCACCTCGATATAGGCAACCCATGGCATATCACCCTTTCTAGCAAACTGGCCGTTGTATATATTGCCGTATTGGGTGCCGACTTTGAAAAATTTAAAACACTTGTCACTTACGAGGACAGATGGTCGCCCTATACCGCAGTCCTTTGTACTTATGGTGGTATTGATTGGCATTTGACCAGCAATTGTATTATAGCTCACAATCGCGCTAAATAATACTGTTTGTTATAAATAAACAATTTAAGTATATTAATTATATTTTTATTTATAAATAATAACTAAAATTATAATTTACTCGTTACGCATTTAAGAAAAGCCATGATTGTTGCAATTGATTATAATAATAATATAATTATTATAAATATTAATAACAACATATAATACTTTGTTTAATGCTATTGTAATGAAGTTGTAATCTTAACGTTTCAATTACTTATGTAAATTAATACGATGATAATTTTCTTATGAAATGTAAACTTGATACAATAAATACACTTATTTGAGAGTATTCAAAATCTGTGTTATGTAAGTTACAATATGTAAGTTACATTATATGTTATGATTATCGTTTTTAGTTATTGTTTGTTTGTTGTAAATACTTATTGTTTCGTGATTTAATTACCATAGTTAAAATAGTTTTAAAATTAATATTACTGTTATCATAAGTGTAGGACAAGTTTTATCCGTAATTAAAAACTTTTTACTTTTCCCTTCAGTGTTAGCAATAAAAAGTGCACAAATAATATATTCCAGGGTACAATCGACTATTAGTATACAGTAATTTAAATACAAAATTTATATAAAATAGTAAAGCCTGTCTTCAAATTACTTACATTTATAAGTTACTTAAATAATCAAAAAAATTTATTGATTAAAAATAGTTATTTTAAAAATTACACTAATTGTGATAGATTTATAGATATTACTAAAATATTGTTAAACATTATAAATTACTTTAAGAATTTTTGAATATATCGCCGATATTTTAAAATGTTTTGGTCAGTTTTCACCAGATTGGGCTTGTCGGGTTGCATAGCATCTGTCCATATACGAGCGTCCAATTGAAACTACAAGAATTTATATAAAAATATACATTAGGTAAATTGCAATAGTGTGTAATTGTTACAAATAAATTGATCAATGTAATTTGTAAAGTTAGATTATTCATTCACCTGAACCCTTAGCATAATGAAAACTACATAGCTGACAAACTTATTAAACAATGATCGCTTTCCATATACGCAAAAGTTAATCATAGTAGCATGCATATTTATAGGATAAAATAGTCCCGCCATTGTTATTGGCTTTAGCAATGACGGTTTTGTATTCAACGTCATTAATATTTGACCTGGGTCAATGACGTGGTCGCATAAAATAAATGTAAACAATTTTACATCGGGTAATTTAAAAAAGTACGGTTTCATTGTGAACACCATTTTGAAGGGCAGCTCCGGGTCGGGCACATGTATGGCAGTGGTCTCCATACCCAGCAAACCCGGTATGAGTGTGTTGTGTACGTAATTTGTGTGCGAGTCGTCTACCGAATTTTCCACTACAAACTATTTATTTTAAATTAAACAAGATAAGAAATATAAATTACTAATTTTATTAAATTAAATCAAATAACGTAGTATAATTATAAACCAAGATTCTAGTACATCATTATGTTTATAAACTTTGATTATTGAATTTATTTGATTAAACTATTTAGTACTGAGAATTGTGTAATGCACTTGATTACACATTTATAATTATATTTATATAATACTAGCCGACAGCCCAGTCCACAAACTCTGTTACACACTCCCTCTCTTACTCTTGTTTTCTATCCCCACTATAATTTTTACTACCCTCCCACCCCCTTATTATATGTTACGCTGTTTTCTATTTTCCCTTTGGATCGAGTTTTTTATATTATAGATTATACCTCACTCTTTGTTCCAATTATCTTATATGTGTCGATATTTATTAGGCTTATATTTGAATCCTTGAGCATATTATACGGCCTATGGTTGGACTGTTTATTGTGGTTATGATACCAGATATATATCATATCATTTGTTTCGTCGGTCTCCCATTTGGTCACTTTAGCGTTCAATTGCTTTAATTCAGACTCTGGTTAGCAAATAAAACATTTAAATTACTTAATAATACAAATTGAATAAGTATTAAATAATTAAATATAAAATATTTAAAGTTTTAAACACTTGATAAAATCATATAAAATATAATGTAATATTAGGTAAGTATATAAATTTTATTAAAACTTTTAACAGAATTTCTATATAATGAATTCTATATATAGAATTTCTAAATATGTACATTCAATACAATTTAATTAGTTTATCGTAGATAATCTAAATAACATATTAATTTAATTAAATTTTATAATAATAATAAATAATTACTCTCAATATTAGGTATGCGTTTGCACTGTCCGTCTCCGCCAAACCTCCAGCCATGAAATGGACACTGAATACAGTCGTCGCCCGAC